GACCACCATACTTAAGGGAAAAGTTCTTGTTATTTGTTAACGACGTCGTTATATCGACAATTATCGAGTTCTACGGAGATATGGTGAAACCATATTTAAAAATTTAATTCGGAATATTTAAAAAAAAAAAAAAAAAACGAAAAATACTAACTCACACTTACAGAGTTAAGGACTACGCGGGGAGCTGACAGAACAGATAATTTTGAAATTTTATTAAAGATAACAAGTCCACTAAAATCACCCGTTCTCAGTTGGCCAGGATTCATGCAATCACAGTTTCCAGGCAGATCGACAGTAACATTTTTACCTATGATTGACATGAACCCAAGTGATATGTCTTGTATAAGCGGAAAGAACTGGCAATTGCAATTTACATCTACAGTCTGTACAGCAGATGCTACCTTATCTTGCTGCCACAGGACACAATTTATACTTGAAATCAGCTTATGTCTATCTCCAACAGATGTTTAGATGATTTAGAACAGAAATAACCAAAGGTATATTCCCAATTTTCATCCGGATACCATGTCATTCGTCGAAACGACCGATATTGGGCAGGCCTTTCAACCGATCTCATCATTGAACAGACCCTGATGCGTAGTGTCAAAACAACTGGTGGACTGACAAGAGGTAAAGGTATGTCTGAGGTACAGAGATTGCAGTGGTTGATGTCCATGCCAGCATGTGCGAGTGTAAACGCCGCAATTCAACAGTTTACAGGTACAAGCTTCAGCACCAGTCTTCAACATAAAGAACATACTACAGCACGAAGAGATCGTGACACCAAAGATACCAACACAATTTTGTCTTTCCTATACGAACGAAATCCATTTCGTCAAGATGAATCTGTAAGGAATATTGAAACGGGTGTAACCGCTACGGCAGAAGTAGATGTCCACCGAACAGAAGCAGTGGGGGATAAAATCAAACAATCTCTTAATGTGCAAAATGTGTTCAAGGTTCAATTTAAAAGAAGTTCTCAAGTTGTAACTATGAGTCCTAGGTCTGCTCTAAAAATCGACGGTTAACAAGTTGTCGTTAGCCCACAGTTACTTTTTCAGAGACTAATCACTGCTGCTGACGGAATGTTTGATGATTTAACGGCCATATTTTCCTACGAATCGAGTAGTTTTCCTTCATCTATATTTGACAGTTCTGGTTCTATGAGAGCAGCTCTGAAACCCCCCCTTGCTGAAGCTATCTGGTCGCTTGGTGATTGTTCTGCCCCAAATCTACCAGAGTCAAATGATGTCCGGTATGTTTTGGATGGTGGATCATTGCTTCATCGGATTCCATGGCCTCGAAGTTGCACTTTCCAGAAAATTTGCGAGATGTATGTTGACTTTGTCAATCGCAAATATGATAAAGCGGTCATCGTCTTTGATGGTTACGCATCAGGTCCTACCACTAAGGATGCTGCACATTTAAGAAGATCAAGAGTAGTAGTGGGTACCAAGGTTTCGTTTTCTGAGAGTACCCCATGTTCTTCAAAAAGGGATCATTTTTTATCTAATGGTGTGAATAAGCAAGCGTTCATCGATCTTCTATCCAAACATCTCGAGGAAAATGGGTGTAAAACTTTTCATTCAGATGGAGATGCTGATGTTCTTATTGTTAAAAATGCAGTACAATGCTCCATTGCCTCCCCTACTGTCCTTATTGGTGACGATACTGACCTTCTTGTTTTACTTTGCTTCTACGCTGATTTGGGTGCACAGGATATCTTTTTAAAATCCGAAACAAAAACAACGCAAATAGTAAAAATTTGGGACATCAAAAGGCCAAAATGTGTCTTGGGACAGGAAGTATGTGAATTATTGCCGTTTTTACATTCTATAACTGGTTGCGATACAACATCAAGACTATTTGGCATTGGAAAGGGTTCTGTTTTAAAGAAGTTGATATTTAACAAACATTTCCGTGAACAAGCTAAGCGTTTTGATGGTGCAGAAACAAAGTCAGATGTTATAACAACTGGAGAACAGATACTACTCTCTATTTACAACGGCCAAGAAATTGATAATTTAAACAGTTTACGCCATCAGAAATTTCGAACTAAAGTCAATACCCATATTGCATCCGTGGTCGAAATACATTCTCTCCCTCCTACCTCATCAGCAGCCAAATTTCACAGCCTGAGAAGTTATCTTCAAATCCAGCAATGGAAAACTGTCGATAATGGGATGAATCCTATTGATTGGGGCTGGCATCTTTCTGATAATATGTTTGCGCCAACCATGATGGACCAGCTCCAGAACAACTTCTGAATGTAATTAGGTGTAATTGCAAGAAAGGCTGTGATAATAGACGCTGTAATTGTCGAAAGCATGGTCTGGAATGCACATCTTCTTGTGGACATTGTAAAAGACTAAGTTGTACTAATTCTGGTAGTGATGAATTAGATACGGATACAAACTAATTTTCTGCCGGTGATCCTTGCTTACAGGCTTTTAAAGTAAATTAGACGTTTAGTAATGCATTTTCCTTAGCTAACCTAACCCATCCCACAAAAAGTGCAAATTCTGCCAGTTCTACCAACTGTACATATTTACACGATTGACTTCCTTTAAATTCAGCTGTTTCCATGGTAACACATTTTGGTTATTTCCTTCCCTTTTGATTTTCTTTGTAAACTTTTTAGAATGCCACATTTATTTCAAAATAAATGCTATGCCTTCTAGATCAATACTTTCAAAATCACCAAAAACATCTTAAGATAAAAAACGGTTACCATGGCAACACTGAATACAAAAGTTGTTTATTAATTATTCTATTTGTTCATTGTTGCGAATTTGTAATTAAGTCTAAGATGGATACTAAAATGAGTAAAATGCATGTACATTCGAAGTTATCCGTCATACGCATGAATATCAAAGGGAGATAACTATTGTGTATGACGTCACATAATTATTTCCCAAAAATTGGTTTGGTTTTTTTTTTTTTTTTACTCTCTTTACTTTACATTATCGAATTTAATAGTTAAATGAAATGATTATCTCTCAAATTATTAATAATTTAAAGCTAAGTGGTCCATATCTTCCAAACTCGTATTTTCATAAATTGATTCAATGTAGGTCTCAGTATTGTTGAATTTTTTTCAAGTTAGCATTGAAATATCCATGGGGACTTTTTTCTTGTGAGATATAATGTATTGTTGAATTCAAAAATGCTTTAAAAAATTCTTTTGCAATTTGTTTTGGGTTTGATGTTATATTATCATAGATTGACTGGACTATTTCTTTTGTAGGATTTTCATCATGTTACACAAAGATCACAATTGCTACAAAATTTCCAATAAAGCATACTACTAATGACATTTTGACTGTTGGAAGCGGACTGTTTTTGAATTTTAAATTTAAATGATACTACAATTGATTTGTCTACATGTGTTACGTGTAATTTTTAATCATGTTGAAGAAGAATTTTGAATCTAAATTTTGCTTTCCAACGCACTTTTAACAAATTTTATGAAGCAAATGCCCATTGTGCCATATATGTACCAAACTCAAAAAGAGGTCAAAAGTAATATTTTGAAAAAAAAAATTGCATATTATTTATGGGCGGTATACTTGATTTCGGGGAAGGGAGGGTTTGATTCTCCCAAATGTACAGGCCTAGGGTGGAGCAGACACTTTATTTAGAAATTAGGATTAAGGGTCTTGATATTGGGTTTTCTTCTGTTCTTATTCTGATCTGAAATTAGAAAAAATAACTCGCCCGATGGGCGAGAAGTATAGTATCTGTTATGTACTGATTGTTTTTAGTTTACTATGAACAATATTATCATTTAAGTTCTTATTTTTTGAATATGCAACTATCATTTTCTGCTTATAGACATGGGGGAATTTCTCTTGAAGGCTCTTATAGTGGGCATGAACTATCTTGCTTGCTCGATTGCTGGTTGTATTAAACGGGACAACAAAGGGTGCTATGCCTACATTATGATGGATATTTAGTCCTATAGGTCTTGCTGTATTCAATGTCTCAATCCAATGGGCCTCCCTAGATTGACGGAATTTGGTAGTTTCATCTTCGGGCAAGTCAATTTCTATACGCTCAATTGGGATTAGGGTGAGATCGTCTATTGAATGGTCGTCGAGGTTGAAATGATTAGAAACAGGCTTGTCTTTCTTTAATTTGATGTCTGACCTATGAGCATTAAAGCGAGTTCGTAAATTATTCTTAGTTTCTCCTACATATTGTTTGGGGCATTTCTTGCATGAAATTAAATATATTACATTCGAATGTTCACATGTTAGATGTTCCTGGATCGGGTACCTTTTATTCGTAGAGTTGCTAACAAAATAATGAGTTTCTGATATAAAGGGACATGTTTTGCATCTACTGGACAAACATGGAGCACTTCTTAACTGGTTGAAATCAGAAGATCTTGTACAAATTTGATGAAATCGTAAAACTTGTGACTTAATTATACCAGAAAAGGTATGTTTTGGGTGAAAGGAGCTCTTGTGCAAGAGTTGATGAGTATCAGTTTCTTTGAAATACACTTTAATATCCAGTTTATTTGTTTCTGCCATGGAATCTCCCTTAAAGACTGTGGTATCGAGAAAGTCTATGCTTTTGTCACTCACGTTTGCGGTTAGTTTGATAGAAGGATGGTGGTTGTTGAGAATTTCAAAGAATTCCCAAAACTGTTCGATAGAATAAGTCCAAACCATAAAAATGTCATCCAAAAAGCGTCCGTAAAAAAGTGGGTCAAATGGACAGAGGGGCAACACCTCACGTTCCCACTCTGCCATGAAAAGGTTTGCGTACGAAGGGGCGAATCGTTTGCCCATTGCTTTCCCTGAAGTTTGTAAATATGTTTTACCATTAAATGTGAAATCGTTTCGATTAAGACAAATCTCTAAAAGCTGTAGAATTGCATCGTCGGGTCTGTTTGGATCTGGGTTTCTATTAAAAGCTTTACGAACTGCCGTTAAACCAGTAGTGTTATCGATATTGGTATACATAGAAGAAACGTCGATAGAAATTAAAATAGCATTAGAGGGAACTCGAAGATTTTTTATTTTATTGACAAAATCGGCTGTGTCTTTAAGGTAGGCGCGATGTTGGCATGCTAGAGGTAGTAAGAAATGATCAATGTATTCTGACACTGCATATGACTCACTATCACAGTCAGATATAATCGGGCGGCCTTTAGGGATTTTATTCGAGATAAACCACTCCTTGGTTGGATTCTTATGGATTTTAGGCAAAGTGTACAAATGTCTCTCTCGACAATCAGGTTTGGCAGACAGATAGACATATTGTTTCTGTTTGAGATAACTAGTTTTGACTAAATCGGCAAGAACATTATTAATCATGTTAGCAGTTTCTTTGAAAATTGGTTTCGGTGAAATGGCATAATGTTTAGGATTATTCAGTTGATTCTCTGCTTCTGAAACGTAATCCTCCCTATTCAGAATGACACAACATGAACCTTTGTCACTCTTTTTAATAACAATGCTATCGTCTTTCTTAAGTAAGTTTAACGCTTCACGTTCCACTCGTGTGAGATTAGGCTTTTCGTGTGTTATGGAAAGGTTCACTGTTTGGCTATTCATACTCGCAAATGCTTTCAATATTTCAGGATGGATGGCGGCCTGAGGGGGTGTCCACGTGGATTTAGGAATAAACATTGTTCTAGCACCACGTGGGGGGTGGTTTCGAAAAAAATATGTGCAGCTAAGATTTCGTTGAAATCGTTCAATGGATGGTCGGAGATAATTCAAGTTAGCTATCTTTGGTGTGGGAATAAACTTAAGTCCACGGTCTAAGATTGAATGCTGAAGGGGTGTGAGAATTTTGCGGCTCAAGTTAACTACAGTTTGGCCTAGCGGTGGCCTCTCAGTATTTTTATCCCCAGTAATTAGTTTAAAGACTTACTCGATGCTTGAAGCTGGTGTATCCAAAACAAATAGATACTGTTTGCTGTTTCTGGAGACCAATTAAGATTATCAACTGTTTCGAATTCTTCTTCGTAGGGTGGTAAGATTGTTGTGCTGTTGATACTTGACTCTATCATCATGTTGTTGAGGGTGCTGAGGGTTCTGTTGTGCTTTCTTCGAGATTTTATTTGAAATGGGTATACATGTGAAGAGGATCTTGGAGTTTGGGAAGGTTTTGTTGGCTGTAGCGATTTATTTCTGGGCTTGGTTAAAGGAGGTCTTTGGTAGCTGATCTCGGTTGATGAGGCTTACATGAAGAATAACGGTAGTAGGTTTGGGATCATGGTCGTATGATTCCAGAATTGACTGTATGTGATGGATAACATATTTACAAACTTCAGGGACAGCTATGGGCAAACGATTCGCCCCTTCGTACGCAAACATTTTCATGGCAGCGTGCATATTTGTACACAAAAAAACAATGTGATTATTAAATGATCTATTTTCCAAGGTAAACTTGTAAGGTGAAACCTTACCGAACTATCTTAATTTAAGACAATTTGGGCACATTTCATTTTTTTTAAAACAAATATTGTATCTCATACAATATTTATTGAAAAAAATTGAAATCTATGCCTGAATTGCCTTTTTTTGGTTGTGTAAAAAAAAGTTCTAAACTCTACTTTCGGGCTGCGATTTCAATTTTTGAAATACGTAAAATATAATCATACGAATGACATTCGGGCAGTGATTTCGATCCTTAAATAATATGAATTATGAAATATTATTAAAAGGAGAATCGATCGGGCTATCAATTTAAAGAAATACAGTTATAGTATAGGATATTCGGGCAAAGATATGATTTAATTTTTAAATTCCAAAAAAATAAAAAATAAAATCGGGCCGTTCAAAAATTTTTTTTAATGCCTTGCCCGAAAAACTAGCCTTCGGGGCTGCGAGGGGGGGCGGCTGCCTTCCTTCAAGACTGCAAAGCAAGGTTACACAATTCAATTAAAGTTATATTGTACTTATGACGATATATTTAATTAATATTGAACAGCTGGTTTTTTCCTATAATTATGATGCAGATTTGCACAATATTTGGGGTTTTTACACATTGTTTAGAATATCAATGTTATTTTATGCATTATATTTGAATATTTACATTATTATGTCTATTTGAGATGTCTATTCTATGTTACCTAGAATTCAGGTTAATGTAATCCTGTAGAGAAACATAAAATGGGTAAATTAATAATTCGTTTCAATCCAGATTTTCAATGTGAAAAATTAGATACAACAGATTTGTTTACATACCACACGTTTTAAGACAGATGTTTCCAGGACTACCATTTCGTCCTGGGTTTTTATTGGCAACTCCATGCCTTCCGGTAGCTCTGTGGCAGATTTGGTGTTGTGAACAATGAAAATAATCTTGTATCTCTTTCTGAAATATTTTCAGCAAGTCTATTTGATGTGAAAATCTCAAATTATGGAAAGAAAAATATTCTGCACTTACTAAAACATAAACCTTCATGAAAGCTCTTGATTCAGCATCTTGCTATTTCCAAACGTTTTCAAGCCGTTTCATGTTTAGAGTCTACTCTAATATAAACTGATATAAAGTATATTCGTAAAATAATGTTGATGACATTTTATACAAAGCTAAAAGTGCAGATGTGCTTTATCAAAATGGAAAGTGCAGAAATATAAATATGTGTGTAATAATTTATATCAGTGCTAAAATAAATCAGCTGAAAATAATTATATATGAAAATAAAAATCATAACATGTTACATATAACAAAGAATATAACATTCAGGATTAAAATGATTTGCTGAAAACTTCCTGTGATAAGTTTAGCATGCCTGGTATTAATACAGTGAATATGATGTCTAAAATCTTAGCTATTCATTGTGTTGTTGACACGAAAAGAAAAATTAACCACAAAGCATGTTTATTTTTAAAATTGATAACTAATTAGTTTTTAAATTTGTTTAATAAAAAATGATAATTAAATCATTAAATGATTTATTAAATTTAAAAAAGAAATTATAATGCTGGGCTGTTTAGCCTTGATGCTGGTGATGGTGATGGTGTTGGTGGTGGTGGAGCCAAACGTGCCTTGGGCAACAATTTCCCTTCCTTTTCTTCCTCTGAAGATATAACTCTTTCACTGCAATAAAAGTTAGTGTTTATTTTCAGTAACTATAAAGTAGAAGTACAACCTGCAATACCGTGACCCAATTCTATCTATTTACACTGGTTGGTTTTAAGTGTCAAGATGCTTTCCTCAGGAAAAATTTGTTTAACTAAGCCTTAACTTGACACTTTTTGACTATCATTTTCAATTATTAACACTTCACTTAACCTCGTTCCAAACATTAATGAAGTTGATAACAAACAGTCACCCACACAGCAGCATACTTAATGGTAAGACTTAGATTCCGGTAATCATTTTAACAAATGTTGTCAAAAATTTCTGAAAACCGCTTTCATCATTAATCTAAGATTTCTACATGCATAAAAAGTTTCATCAAAATCGGATTTTAACTTTTCTATCAAATTTTAAAGCCAATGTTGACATTAGACACAAAGACAACATACATCTACATTATAATGCGAGTGAATAAAGATATACATACAATCTCTTTCTTTTCGATCTTCTAATAAAATCCTCATCAGATTCGCCATCTGCTGTCGTAGCCTCCGATTTCTTTAATTTATATCGAACAGCATTGTGAGATTCTGAAAGAGGGTTTAAAAATGATAGTTGGCATTTTCAAAAACAAAAATGTCTCATCAAAATGGTATCAACGGATAGTGTCTGCAGTTTCAATTGCATTCACAAGTTACTGAGGCTTCTTAGGACAAACTGTACATTAGTAAGGCTGACAAGATATAAAAGAACATTCATATTCTGCCGAATAAAAAAATTGAAGTAAAAACATTTGTACCATTTTGGTACAATTCTTTGATAGGAAACGAAGGTCAGTTAGCCCCTGGCTGGCACTTCTTAATTACCAATCCATTTAGTTTTGAGGGCATTCTCAGTGTGTGTGTGTGTGTGTGTGGGCTAAACTGAAGATGTAGTCCCAGCAAGCCAGCTGTCTGGTATGACAGCAACTTCTTTCGAGTCAACAAACTCCACAAGAATGAACATTGTAAGATTACTAAAAATAATCTTTACAAAAAAATGAAATTATGCACACAAAAAAAACAAAATCAGATAAGGAAATCACAGAGCAGTAATGGACTTTGTCTTGAATAAAGAAAAAATAAATTGAAATATCTGATATGTGATTGACACTTTTACATGACCGAATTTATTTTTAGTAGAATAAAACCAGTACCATTTCTTGGAAATCTCTTTATATGAGATATCAAAACAAACTGTGCTATACTTAGATTGAGAATGCACAACACCAAAAGATTTAATATATAACAAAAAAAACTCTGATAAGTTACAAACAGGTCATAAAATAAAAGAACTTAATCACAATAAAAGATATATCAAATAGCAATATTTATAATACATAGATTCTTACAAGCTATATGAAATATACAGTAACAACTTACAATAAACACCGGCAAAAACTTACTCTATGCCGTACTAAATTAATAATAATAATAATAATATTTATTCGTAACTAGTTTACATCACATAGTAAAGAAGTACAATACACAAGAAATTACTGGACCTAAACAAACCGATACTGAAAGTTATCCTAATTCATCCAAAAACAATGTATACACTGTATAAAAATTAGGAAATACCAAATTGAAGAAACTTGAATTTACACTATATACAATTTAGATGACAGTATAAACCATCCTACATGAACAAAATATTAAGGCAGAATGACCATACAGGTAAGAAAGAAAACAACTCAGACGGTCACTACAAAGCACAGAAAAGACAAGGTTAAAGGTTAGAATGAATAGAACTCAGAAACAAAGAAGATATACCTTCATCAAAATCATTAGGCCTAAAAATACCCATAAGCATAAGAACATGTACCATCAAAATATTTTGACGTCATAATCATTAATATACGACAATTTTTCACAAAAAAGTAATAACACTTTGAAATAGCAGCATTTTTAGAATTCTTTGAAAAAAATGTAATACTGATTATTCTAATTTCACCTCTTTTATCACAAATCACCCAAAGATTTTGAGAAAATATGTCTCATACATTTATCTTTATGAGTTCTAAATATTATGGTCAAAGCTTTGGTGATACGCCCACTTTCCTGATACATTTTCAGTGTATCAAGGACAGTCACCAATCTGTGTCAAATCATACCAAAAATGTACAAGATATTGTTGATTTAAACCAACACAAAATTTAATAAAATTCTAACATTAACTGTCACCTCTATTTTAGAATGCCAACAAATTTTGATGCGTTTTTTTAGTCAAGGGCAATAACTCAAAATCAGTTCATCGAAAGATAGCCAATTTCGAACCTGTCTAAGATCTCGTCACACCAAAATTTATTTAAATCGGATAAACACTGTGTTCACAAACAAATTTTGATGCGTTTTTCATTAATCAAGGGCAACAACCCAAAAATCGTTCATCGAAAGATCGTCAAATTCGAACTTGTCCAAGATCTGATATAAATGATCACACCAAATTTCATGTGGACGTATAAACATGAAGTAAAAATCTTTTACTATTTAGTAATGATTAAAGGAATAGAAACTTGGTAATCCTGATATGGCAAAAAACACATTTGGAAACAATATCATGCATGAAGCCACACTTCAGCTCACCAGACAATCCTGAAACAAAAAATATCATTAAATCTTTCGAATCTAGAGGATAATAAAAAAAAAAAGCTCTGTAAGGAAGAAAACGTTTCATATACACATATCTTTATCAGCAGTTGCCACTTGTTTGCCTATAATAATGCAATTGTTACCTTTCTTAACTGAAAAAAAAAATGTGTCTGATAAATGAATTTCTTAATACTGCAAAACAGTTTTCTGAATGACACTTTTTAAAGCCAGGGTAGTAAGAAGGTCTAGAAGAGAAAATTTTGTTTTCAGAAAGTCTTCTTACAACTTGTACCAGGGGAAAATTTGGTTTTCGAACAAGTCGCTTAAGTATCCCAAAAAAACTTTAAAATATGAAAGCAGAAAAATCCCCAAGAGGTCCAAATTTCTTGACATCCCGTGACAAATGTACAAAACCATGAACAAGCATATCTTTTCAATATAAATTTCAAAATTCTGAAACAAAAAGTATCAGAGTAGGTTAAATATGTCCTAAATAAAATAGGGCTTGAAAGACAATATATAGAAACAAATAAAAACATAAAATGACGGTAGCAAGCTGGTGATAATACCCCGTATAAACAAACTGGACCTGTATATAGAAGAAATTCAGTTGTTTTCCATCTATCAACTTCCTTCAGTGATCTACCTTTGCGAAGAAATTCACGAGGAAGAAATTTACCTTCCTCTATAATACTTACCTATAGTCTTTTTATGGTGTGAGCAGAAAGTTTGCAACATGCCAGAGGGCTTTTGACCCAAAATGAGAGAAGACGTTTCATGACACTAAGGTACACTAAAAGCATAAAATCTAATGGAAACTGACTTACCATTCCAATATTCAATTCTGTGAATGGAGAGGTTGCCAAGTGATGTTTAATTTGTGCCATTTCATCAAACTGTGCATCAGTTCTTAAATCAGAATCTATATCTGGAAAAGTGATTTTGTTAAGATGCTCACCTGTCTAGACACACTTGTTACATCTGAAATAACCACTGTGTCCTTTTACTTGCTTTACATAAGCTCAAGCAGGAGTCTCACATATTACACAAGATATACTTACCTTGAACTTACTAAAGAAAAAAAGAGTCATTCTCATGCCTTTTCATTTCATTAATGAAGGGAAGCAATTAACAATTTACATTGCTATCACCAACATATATACCAATCACAAAAGGCTCTGCAGTGTATGGCAATAAAAGTCTGCCCAATATTGGCCAAAACTGAATGCTGGAGCTCTTAAAAAGTGGGAGGCCATCAATGTTTACCTGGATGTTTACCAGATGAGAATCAGTCATAAAACATTGTACATTATCAGAAATTTGATCCCTCAATCCTGCCTCAACTCCAAAATGGTGATAATGGCCATCACAAACTTTATTTACCTCAACATTTTTTACAGTTTGGAACAATGTTCTAGGATCTTTCGGTAGTTGAGGATGAAATAGTTTCAATGCACCTAGCAGATCACGCATTACATTTACAGTGATACTATGCTTTTTTGACCAATCCGCCAACTGTATGTTAACTGCCAGTCTTATTATCGGAATCTACAAAATCTGTTACGAAAGAATCGGTGTTGTCTCTTATTTGAATTTGAAGTTGTAGATATACCTGAAAAAATATCTGATGCCTGAGCATCATCATGATCTGCAATAGAAATAATAGAATTGAAACTAAATATGTTGTGATGTGAATTTATATCTGAACCTTCTAAAACTGGAGAATAGGTCTACTATGTTTTGTTCCAGTTTCAGCCATTGGCATAAGACAATCAGTTTCTCAACCGATTTGTCTTGAAGTTGAAAATCCTCGCATGCAGGCTTATTATAAATATTTTTCATATGTTTTGTAACATTTGATCTTACATTCCTGTAAGTCTGCCAAACAGATTTAGGCCTGGAACTGGAAAATGCCATATCAATGAATAAACTGAAAATAGTGAGGACAAAAAAAAAGAAAAAACAAAGAAAAATTGAAAGGTTGAGGGCATATACAAGATATCCAGGAATAATCTATAATGAATAAATGTTAGATCTAAAAGTAATGAAAACTTGGCACTCACATAAATCAGCCCTTTACTTGTAATAAAGATTTATTTCTTTTCAATTCTGTAAGATAAAAATTTAACTATAAATATTTGATTCGATGCTGATAACCAATATGGCTGAAAAGAAGCGCGTAAAGTTACGTCGTTCCGCAGTTTACACATTATTTTTTTCAAATTCGAAATTATATTTTCAAATTCAATATTATTTTTTACAAATTAGAAATTCAAAAATAAAATAGTGTCGTTTTTGAGCTCCCGTACTACACGCCATAAAATCTTAATAAAAAAATATTTCTTTCTAGGAAGGGAATGCCATAAAAAAATCCATAGTATATTTTTCGATTCAATGGATGTACTTGATTTCACACTCAGCAAACTATTCGACGTTTTAAAAACCTAAATTTGTAGACTCGTATGTTTCAAAAACATTTTAAAGAAACGTTATTTTGAAAAACGTTTCTGTCAACTTCCAACAAACTGTCCTTGACCTTTTCATTAGGATATTTAATGATTTTATTGAAGACTTGTAATTTAGTTACAATTGAATGACTGTTTTAAAGGGGTATTCCGCTTTTTTGTAAAAAGTTTCATTATCAAAAACGTCGTTAATTATACCTTTAAATGTTTCTGAAGTATGCTAATTATATCTATGTATCTTCTTGATCAAACTGAATTTGTTTTAAAAGGGTTAATTAAAAACGGAGACTAATTGTTAATTAAGCAGTTTTAGTTTTGGTAGTTGGCATTGGCATTAGAATAACTGATATTATCAGTTGAAACCTTTAGAATACATAGGAGACATTCTACAATTAGGCGTTTATTTTACTCAAATCCGTACAATAGTTTTCTAAATCTAACAGCTTCCAAACAGCATAACGAACATTACGTAATGTTTTCAAATATTTTTTGCGTTTAAAAGTTAACGACCGGATTTTGTTCATTAAAATTTTCAAATACGTTAAATGGTACATTTCTCTAGATTTTGGTGTATAGTTTTCACAAATTTGAGCAAAAAAATTGTTGATCTTCAAAACAAGCGGAATGTCCCTTTAACATAAGTAACAGCTTCTAGGAGCTTGCCCGAAAACATGCATTTTTACCAAGCAGGAGTAGGACTCGACAAATTGATATATAATTAAGTTTTGTAAATGGGACATCATTGAATTTACTAATTTCGGCTTCTCTTTGAAAATTAAACATGTCATTGTTTTTCATTTGCAAGATTCGCGTGTGCTTGAGACGAAATTTGAGAGTGCGTATCAAACTAACTGGACTATATATTTCAGCTATTTCTCAATGACTATGCACATATCATCAAATCACCTATCTATCCACTATCAAATGCCGATATCTTCCCAATATCAGTATCACGTCAGTTATGATAGAAATGTCCATATCGGATGTCGGTCGTGAACTAACAACGACCCCATGTCGGCAAGATTTCGGTTTGGCATCGTTAGATAGATAGTCTGTATTTAAAATAAGCTCGACATAGGGCCAACAGCTTCTGAACCGATATCGATAAGCCTATTTATAGCCGATGTAACAGGGATTTTAAAGGTGCAGCACCAATGAAACTCCAGGTCGGGATTCGCTATATTTCATTGATAATCTAAATAAATAACTCCTATAAAATAAAATTTAAAACTTACAAAATTAAGTGTGTGGGCTAAACAACTATGTAGCCTAAGATTACAACAAAGATGACAAACATTCAAACATCCAATATTAAGTGAAATGACAGGAGTGGAGAAAGAAAGAGAGAGAAAGTCTTATATAGGAGAGTGATTAGAATTTAAACTGAGTAAAAATAAAGAAAAGTGCTCATTCTGCTGGTAAACAACTTAAAGCTACCGTTGTTAAACTAGGGAAGTAAAAAAACTTATAGACTTCAGAAATAAAGAACAAAAACATGATAAATTTTATATAATAAAATACGACCACCACATTTGAAAAAGAATTTGTACCTAAAGCAATATCGACTGGTAATTTAGGATGCCTGCCAAACATAAGGAAATATGGACTATACTGTGTTGACTCTGTTTCGTACAGTTATAAACTATTACAAAGATAAAATACAAAATTTTTCTAATTAGACTTCTGTTCCTCTGAAAGAGTACCCAACATATTCAATAGCTTTCTGTTGAATCTTTCAGTCCAGCCATTACCCATAGGATGATATGGAGTTGTCCTTGACTTTTTAATACTCGATAACAAAAAAGTTCCTTAATAGTATCAGTCTCAAAATTACGACCAGGATCAGAATGTAGGCGAGATGGAATGCCATATGGAAGTAAAAGATGATGAAGCAGAGCTTTAGCTGTGGTTTTTGCAGTTTGATTTTTAGTGGGAACTGAAAAAGAAAATTTAGTAAAGCGATCAGTAATAACCAGAATATTCTCAAATCCACCTTTTGATACCTCTAACGACATAAGAAAATCCATGCAAACCAATTCTAATGGTTCCGAAGATTTGATACTAACCAGTGGTGCTCTTTCTGTGATATTTGGTGATTACGCCGAATACAATGAGTACATTCCTCAATATGAAGATCTACATCCTTACACATACCAGGACACATACGAGACTTTACAATGTACGATCACTACCCACATGTCCCATCTTGTCATGAAGATACGTAAGAATAAGAGATCTTACGAAGTAGGAACAATAATCTGCAGTGTAGATAATTCTGTTGATGAAGAAGAAAAATTACGATAGGACGAATACCATTTTGAACAGCTCCATAGATGGGGTGAATAATCTTACATTCCTTCTGAGCCTGACGAATAATATCGGAATCAATCACTGGGATACAATCCGGAACATTAACCTCAACATCTTGTATAAAACACAGGGTATCAACTTTACCATCTGAACTGTCATGAGACAAAATTAATGCTGAAACTGCATCATTACTTACATGTTTTGAAGGAAGACCAGAAAGACCATCAGCAACAGAATTTTGCATACCGGGTATATATATCCAAAAGGGTACTGAGGTAGGTCCTGCTGAGCCTATCGAAGGCTTATCCTGGTCGTAGGCCAACACGGCCATCCCCAGGTCCTTCTGGTTAGCATACTCATATAAGTAGTCAATCGAGAGCAGGTTGTTGACGATATATTTGTCTTGGCCTGCTCCCGATTGAGTATCATATAAGAGTAAGTTTAGTATAAGTTTTAGCCTATTGGCTATCACCTTTGCTACTATCTTATAGTCTACCGTCAGCAGAGAAATCGGCCGATAGTTCTTCAGATCCTTACGTGAGCCCTTGTCTTTATAATGTATAGATATCACAGAGGTGCTCATGCTTTCTGATAAGATTCCTTGGAGGTATATGTTGTTAATGACCTCTGGCAAGTCATCCTGGATGACGTTCCAAAATTTTAAGTAAAATTCTTTTGGAATGCCATCAATTCCAGGTGACTTGTCATTTTGGAATTCAGAAAGCGCTTGGAAAATTTCTTGTTTGGAAAGGATCTGATTGTCTATGGCCTCTATCTCAGCTGACGGTAGACTATAAGATAGTAGCAAAGGTGATGATGAGGTGTGATGCTAGAGTTGTTGAGGTACTCATCAATGACAGATTGGGGTATAGGGTCGGCAGAGTAGAGCTTTGAATAGAATTTCTCTACAATGTCCATTATTTCTTCTCTGCCTTCCCTGACCACCCCGCTGTCATCGATGAGTCTATCAATCTGTGTTCTAGCCCCATTCTCAATTTCAGTCTGTTTAAAGATGTGGATGTTCTCCAGATCATTATCCTCATAAGGTATTTTCGATCTTATGAGGACACCTTTGTTTGGGTTTAGTAGGTTAGGACTTCGTCGTTGTGTAAATGATAAGACGTTGATTCAAAGAACTATCTTTACTTTGATTAGAAGACGTTAAGTACAAATCAACATAACGTAATAACTTATGTCACTTGCAATTACGTTCCTTTAGTTACATTACGACGTAACCTTATGTTACGTTAAAGTCTATGAGATCGCGGCAATCCGTGATACTTCGGCCACAGAAAGTGAAAAGTAAAACTTGAATACAAGAAAAATGTCAAAAAAGCACAATGAATCATTATCCATTTAAAGTCCATGTATTATATATGAATTCTCCCTTAAAAGTCCATATATGAAGAAATAAATTCACTGAACAGTTTCTTGTTTATAAATATATTACAATGTCCGTTGTCGAATCTTTAGTTTGGCATCTTCCTTGGCCTGACGAAATTTGGTAGGTTCCTCATGGGG